TGAATAACAAAAACAATTGAAAGTCGATATTCAAATGTTTCAAATTAGAAAAAAATCACAGAAACCATTTGAAAAAAGTTTCATTCGAAAACCTCAAACCATGACGATTCTATGAAAATTCAATGAACCTATTGCAATGAAACGGCAATTTCATACTTTAACCCCTAATAAAATTGTCAATGTATGTTTTATTACCGTAATATTCATGTATTTTTTGTGAAGTATTTCCGCTAGTTTGTTATAATTATTAATACAAAAATCGAATACGAAGAAAAATTCCTTCAATCCGACAGGACATATAACAGACACATAAAAGAATTTAATTGACTAGGCCTGTAGCTCAGTTAACAGAGCGACGTTACGGTACAGCATGGACGCAGACTCAAGTACTGTCGGGTCGAAGGAATTTTTGTTTGCCATTCGATCTTTGTACTAATAATTATAAGAAAAATGCAAATTAAAAAGAAAAACAAACAAACAGTGTTTACGTACTAGTGAAATCAACAACCATTTTGACTACAACTTATAATGAAACAAAAGAAAAAGGAAAGTAGCAGGCCGACAGATAGACGGTAAAGAGATCTTAGCAACCGTTCATAAAACAACAAATGACTTACCAAAAATGTTGACAAAATATAAATAATTAATTCCATTTTAAGTACTGGATTAAGAGAACATGTCAAGTGTAAGATTCTTCAGCTTGATTGACAAAAAACTTAATTTGTGCGAAATTTATATCAGAGGTAGCAAATTAAATAATTGTTCTCGTGATTTAATCATTGTGTGACTAAAATGGTGTGATGCTGTTGATGATGAATTTCATGTTTTTATTAAATGGTACATTACCATTTTTGTAAAGTAGTGTATATTTCCAATGTTGTCAAAAGGGTTAAAGCATTTTTTAATTAAACATAAAAGTATATACCACTAACATAAATGTAAAGAGGGGGTAAGTCCTCTTTAGGTATCTTAAAAGATTACGTTATTAATATCACGTGGTCATTAATTATTGCTAGAAATGTTTCGTAGAAGTACTAAATTTACCGATGTTAGAGCATTTAACTAACCGGGGGCGACGCTAGTTTTAATTCTTAAAACTAAAAAGTCTGCCACTTTTGCGGAGGATGAGGCAAGCACACAAATAAAATGCCAATAAACTAATGCATTTCTTGATCAAAGTCAAAGTCAAAGTCAAAGATTATTTATTCCATAGGTAAAATAAATTAACACTTGAAAACGTCACATTTAAGCTACTGCTCGTTCACTACGCTGACCTCCCTGAGAAGAACGAGCAAGAAACTCTAGGGATTGCTCTTTTCAAATAAACTTAAATGCTATGGAATACACTTTGGATCAAATTTGTGTCGATTCTGGAGCCATGTCGTCTTTCCATACATCTAATTTCATATATCTAACACGTAGTCTTCAATTTTGTAATGTGATTTTTGGATCAAAATATTTTTAATGTAGTTTTTAAACTTAGGAAATGATAAACTTAATATATACTCCGGAATCTTATTGTAAAAACGTATACGTAACGTACGTACAGTTCTCCATAAAAGAGTTGTTTATCTTGGTTAAACGAAATCGTGGTACCATGAATTTGGACTTAGCTTTAGAGCTTAATTAGAGGTTAATATTATGGATATTTTCTTTCTTATTGAAATTATGATCGTGTCGCTATACACGCACACTACGAAATTAAGCAACACTAGCGTGACTTTACTCACACACTCTCTTTCACAAGTAGTAAAAATAGCAGAAAAACTCCTTGTGAAAGAGTTCGTCCAGGGAAGTACTGCCTATGCCTTACCTATTTCAGCCGCCAAGCAATAATGTGACCATTTCTGCGTTTTGGTTTGAAGGGTAAGCGTGCTGGTGAATTTACAGGTACCTAGGACTTGACAATTTATGTCTCAGGATGACGGGCGCAGTGGGAGTGCCTCTCAGATCTTTGCGATTTAAAGCTCTGAGTGGCTGCAACTGTTCTGGACAGGTGTGTAGCTTACCACCGGGCACACGCGACTTGTTCGTCCGGTCATTTGATATTATAAAAAAAACATTTATCCTTTTTTTGTTCATCCTTTTCTCTTTTTCTTTTTCTGCTTCACAAACAAGCGAAATAAAATAATATCCACGTCTTTTTTTATCATGTAAAATTGTTCTTGACATGTAGAAGATTTTTTTTTCATAATACCAAGTGACGGGCCGAACAAGGTCCGTTTCTTTTCGAACAAGTTCGATTTCTCGCGAAACTAATTTCGCTTCTGTTCCGCCGCAATTTAAACTGAGCCTAAGGGAATTAATGAGCATGAGCATGAGTAATTTTGATTAAATAAATATCAACTTCTTAAAAACATTTTTTGTTGGAATTTTCATTTCATACTTAAACCCTCATTTTTTAACCGACAGCACTGTCCCACTCCATCTTGGCGATCTCAAGCATTATGTATATTGACCATATTGACTTATTTATTTAACAAATATTATGTTACAAAAATTGTACAGGCAAAAATCTGTACAAAAATGAACTTTAACGAAAACACGCTCACATTTTTTTTAATTTCTATGTTTTTACTGTATTAAAGTCTGCCATTGGTCTACCTTTTGTTTTTTTTTTACCTTCATCAAGTGACACGCCTAATGACAGTTGCAGTGCCACTCAGAGTTTTAAATCGCAAAAATCCGAGGGGCACTGCCACTGCGCCCGTTACCCTGAGATATAAGTTGACAAATCCTATGTGCCTGTTATTTCACCAGCACCTTTGCCTTTCAAAACCAGAACACAGTAATGCTGACATTACTGCTTGGCGGCAGAAATAGGTAAGGTGGCAGTACTTCCCTGGACGAACTCTTTCACAACAAGCTCTACTGCTACTTAGCCACTCTAAGCAAATATCAAAGGAGATTTCATAACATAATTTAAAAATATACTCTACTCTAAATTAGTCTAAATACTCTAGTAATGTCGTTCATTATATTATTTCACCAAATTCTTATCAAATATGTATTTATTTATATTGTATGAACTTTTTTTAATTAAATGACTATTTCAATATTTTTTCAAAGTCAGTGTCTTTTTCTGTGTTTCTAATATTAATGGGTAAATTATTGTACAATTTTATTGCCATACGATGAGGATTTGACGCTACTTGTTTCAGATTCGTAACGGTTGTTTCTAATTCGTATACAAACTGCCTCCGTGGTTGAATGATTACCATGTCGGACTGCCACGCAGAGGTTTGATTCGGGTTCGATTCCCGGACCGGGAGAAATATTTACATGACCTACATCTACTTCTCTAGTGAGTTTGGGTGTAATTTGTGGTTGTCTATGTGTGTGTCTATGGCATCCTCGACGCAGTGTTTCCCTAGTGCGTGACCATATTGACTGTGTGCGTTATTATTTATACATCGAAAATGAATGAAAATGTCATGTGTTGTAAAAAGACATTAAGGCTGGTGTAAATTTTTTTCCTTTCCACCTTTTTGAAACCGTCCTCGTCGCACTGGTCAACTCTTCTCGGTGGTACTGACGACACAGCTCCAGAGATGAGTATACGTTTCTTTTTCATTTTCTTCTCCTTTGTTGGTAACTGCTGGGTTGTGGTTGTGGAGCACAGTAGCGTAGTCACTCACGCGTGACGCCGCCGCCGGGGCGGAAGAACGAGGGGAAGGGCGCGGGGAAACGCACGTGGTGACAGTAGTCGGCGACGTATGGGCCGACGCACTGCCACTGCCGATAGATGCGTTTTGCGCCCCGCGACAAGTATTCACCTTACAGGCCCCGGGTGACCTACTTACCGAAGCCGCATTACCTAGTAACGCAACTCACGGATGATATTGTTCGAGACCTCGTCCAATTTACAGTGATCTTCAGCAAGGCTTGCTTTCATGGACGTGATGTCCTTCAGCAGCCTGGTGCCGTCGATGTGGTCGAAAGTGCCCGCTTGCTTGACACGAAAGCAGGAACATAGTCTGGGTCGGTCTCCTTTAACAGCAGACCTGTACGATGCTGACCTAGTCCATAGTATCGATGGCGTGTTGTATGAACGCCAGAAGTTCATTGTCTATGAGTTGCTGGGAACCCATAATCAATTACGCGCAGCGGCTATTGCCGCGCGTGTCGCGAATTTTTATAATTCTTACTGTGTAGTGGAGCACATCCGAATCCGACAGTGCACTGCTCCGCATTGACAGGCATGAACTATTATGGACAGGGATGTAGCCATCGAGTATATAACCAGCAATAGAGACGAAATGTCATGCCATTCTGCCAAATCATTACTGTGACAACTGCGGTGCGATTGGCGTGTCCGAATTCGAAACAATTGACGGGTGTCGTCAATTATTTCACTACAAATCGACCAGTTTACCTTAGTAAAAATAACTGAGGACCATGTTTGATAACGATTATACGAAATAACTGATTATAAGCTAATACAAAAAGGAAGTGAGTTTAGTGTGTAATTTTGTATTATTATTTACTATTATATATTTAATTAAGTACTTAGTAATTATTTTTTGGTTGGTTAAGTTAGCCAATTAAGTTTCTTTTGAAACGTGTACCTAAGAAAGAACGGCGCCTCCTGGTTACACTTAAAAGGAGGCTCCAGCAACTATTATTTAAGAAACCATGCTTGAAGATAAATGAAGATTATTATTGTTATTTATGTACACCCACATTTATGTCGCTTGGTATGACAACTTACAGAAAACAAGAGATCTAAACGAAGTTATTTTTTGGTCGCTATTTCTGTGTATCGTTTGTTTGATGTTGTTGTTTTTAATTAGGCAATTAATTCTCCATGTTGCATATTGTAAACACCATCTTAATATAAAGTGTTTGAATAAATGCTGTGGATATTTTATATTACGAATTCTTATTTCATGTTCCAAATGTAGCAAAGATGAACATACATTTATTTTATTTTATTTTTGTGTGTTTATTACCCATTTTTAGTGAAACGTTGGTAAGATTTTCTTCGAGATTTTTTTTTTAAATAACAAAAAAGAAATGTAATGATATTTAATTTTAAAGTGTTTGGTTCCCGTTTTAAAGGCTTAAAACAAATAGTATTATTAATAATAATATTCAATTACTAATATTCAAAGTCGAATTATAGAATCAAAATTAAATTAAGTACTAGACTTTTTTGTTTTGTCATGTTTCCCTGTTACATAGACCTTCGTGCGGGACTCCCCTATATTCACTTAGTTTGTTGTCTTCTCTTGTTACGGCTTTCTTCGATTTTTAATACTACGTTTGTAATAAAATTTTCGTTTTGCACAGGATCCCCCAATACCTGTTGGTCCAATTTTTAATATTATAAAAGAGCAATTAAGTGTTTTATTGAATGCCAGGATGTTTCACTGCCACGATATTAATTTTTTTGTGAAGTTACTCTACTTTGTTATAATTATTAATACAAAGATCGAAAACTTCACTTCACTTAGAAAAAATTCCTTCGATACGGCCGTATTCGAACCGACGTCTTCTAGCAAACGACCGAACCAGCGGACCTCACGAATTCTTCCATGTGCTTGTCGAATCTTTATATCTGGTTTTTAACGACTTTCTGGCCGTTGCGCCTATTTGAGAAATCTGTGAAAGTATTTCGTCACCCAGTTAGGCTCCTTTACAGCTTTCAGCCCTGGCTAGAGATATGGCTGTTCACTGTTATTAAGTGTTTTATTGAATGGCATAGCGTCTGGCATGGTTTACTAGAAGACGACCGGTTCGAATCCGGCCGGATTGAAGGATTTTTTTCTGAGTGTTCGATCTTTGTATTAATAATTATAAAATAGTATTTTATGCAATCTATGTATAATGAGGGTTCTCAAAGTCGTGCTTGCCGAGTGGCCAAAGTAAAACGTACGAGATTTTAAGACCTAATTAAGTAATGGTTGCATACGATATTTTTTCTACAAGCACATAAAATAATGAAACACCATCAATATTTAATGTATATCTTGACAGCAATCCATGGCAAGAAACTGAAACGACAGTCAAACAAATGTTACATAACAAGAAATCAAAGAGATAGAATTGACCGTTTTTTTTTATAAAAGTTTATGGCCCGGTTGCAAGACCTTTAGGCCAATTTAATCAATCAGGAGAGAGAATAGCGTTTGAGTTTGAGTAGTGTCATATTTGATATTTTAATTAGCAAAATAACGACGTTATTTTTTTTAATTTATCAGTTCAGTAGCGAGCACCATAGACAATATAATTTTGGTTTAAAACTAAAGAGAACACCTAGAAGCAGTACAGCTCCTTGTGAAAGAGTTCGTCCAGAGAAGTACTGTCACCTTACCTATTTCTGCCGCCAAGCAGTAATATCAGCATTACTGTGTTCCGGTTTTGAAGTGTAAGGGTGCTGGTGAAATTAAAGACAAATGGGACTTGTCAATTTATGTCTCAGGGTGACGGGCGCAGTGGTATTGCCCCTCAGATCTTTCAATTTAAAGCTCTGAGTGGCACTGTAACTGTTATGGACAGGCGTGTAGCTTACTATCAGCACGACTTGTTCGTCCCGACACTTGATGTTATAAAAAAAACCTTTGTGATATGGTTTATGAAATTATAATTTACAGACTAAGGTAAAGGAGAAGAAAAAAACGTATTTTACTGGAGGTTGGACATTCCTTAAATACCAACTAAAATTCAAACAACTTTGCATGATTTGTTTTAGAGGCGGCCCAAAGTTGCTTCAAATGTAAGTTCAATCAGAAAATTGTATTCGTTTTTAACCGACTTCAAAAAAAGGAGGAGGTTTACAATTCGACTGTATGTTTTATTTGTATGTATGTTACGCGATAATTCGGGCATTTATGAACCGATTTTGATGATTCTTTTTTGTTGGAAAGAGGGTACCTCAGTAGTGGTCTCATTTAATTTTGAAGAAAATTTTCCACCTCGAAGGGTGGCTATTATATAAATTTTATAATCACATAACAACTCTAACTTCCTTGCAATTAGAAAAAATTTGCTCTCCTTATAGGAAAATCAGTAACCTTACACAAGTTAGGATAAACTACATAAGGAAAATCAGGATAAACTTACATAAGTTTAACCTAATTTTTGTACATGGAGAGCAAATTTTGGATTTATTGTAAATTAATAAATTTTTTTTAAATGTTTTGAATTTATTAAAAATGGATTTATTACGGTAGATATAGCATTACTTACTAATAATTTAGTTACACGTGTTAGGCGTACTGAGACTCTTTCTCTTTGATAATAATGGTATTTAGACTGTAAAAATGTAGTTTATCGGGGAAAATATTTACTTATAATACCATCAACACAAACCGGAAGGTAACAAACTGCAATATTGTAAATCCTCGAAGTCATTTTCTGTATGTATGTATGTATCATGTATCATAATTATGTATGTATGTTATTTTATTAACTAACTTCAAAAAGTATTTTTTGTGAACCCATTTTGATGATATTTTTTTTGAAAGAGGGTATCAGTATTGGTCACATTTAAATTTGAAGAAAATATTCCACCTCTAAGGGTAGCAAATTAGGGGATGAATCCGTTTTCGCGCCTTGTTATTGTTAACTTTTTAGTTTCAGCTTGTATGTATGTAAACATAAGCAAAGTTTGAAATCGGTTCTATTTTTTTAATAAAAAAATATTTATTTCAAAATCAGTTGTTATTTATACAGTCATTAAAAATATGTATATGCAAACCCTGTTAAAACAAGTACCCTGTATGATATCCTTAGAGGATGGAAAATAATTAATAAAATTCCATCATTGACTTACAATTTATATGGACGTCGGGTCCGCGCTAAAAAGTGTCCGCACTTGTAAGGCGCTAAATTCGTATACAGAGCGCGACACTCCGCTTTAGTCTTCATTTGTTCTTCTAAGCGCGATACTGCGATGACATTACAATTTAAATTTCGAATAGGTTGACTTGGGACATTTTTTTCGTGGTTTTTGTATTAGACCCGTCGTCCATTTATTTGTAAGTCAATGAATTCCATAGTCTAAGATGATATCACAGACCACATTCTGATATAATGTGACGTGACATTGATTGACTCAGAGAGAAAAAGATAATATTTCATCGAATAAGAACTAACTATATAAAAAAAATATTTGATAGCAATGTTTCGGGCTTATCATGTAGCACTCTCCATTTCTCTCTTACACAATTGCTTCTGCATTCCATTACATCTGTTTAAAAAAGAATAATCATGTGTTACTGTCGCTCAGATATTGTATTAATTTTCTAACACCTACATACATTCTTTACCAAGTTTACCTTTAAGTTTCTAAGTACTTATGTCCTAAAAATCTTTAAAATGTTTTGTTTTAGAAGCGGTTAAAATTTGATCCGAATGTAAGTTATTCGTATTAAGTAAAGGTTAACTCACGTACTTAAGTCAAATTTTTGCTCGACATATTTCCAGCCAGTCCGAGATCATGAGATTACGGTTGTTTCTTAATCTCATGATTAGGAACCACCACCACAATCCGTGGAGACCACAGACGGATGAAATATGTACAGCAAAATCCCACTTAAGTTCGTAAGTTATCTTTTCCATATACAAAAATAAATGCGCATTTGACCTCCATCTCACCTGATGGAAAGTAACGATGAGGTCGTCGATGTAGCAAGGACACCTAAACAATGCCTATTCACTCTCGCTTTGAAAAGGCCCAAGTCATAAAGTTCGGGAAATAAGTCTGCAGGCAGGGAATTCCACTCCTTAGGGCACGTTCTCATTATGTCGTAACGTTATATTTATTGTTGGACGACTGTCGGGTCTAGCATGTTCCCATATCACGATTATCTATCGTGACAGTGTCGTGGACGTTTATTGTATCGTTGAACGACTGTCGTATCTAGCTGTTCCCACTAGATCGTGACGACAATTTATCAGTTCACGGCAGCCAGACCTTGTCGTTTGCACGACAGAATCGTTTGAAGTTGCGATTAACTATCGTGACGTGTTACTTATCGTCTGGCTACCGTCGTCTAGCTCTTCCCATTGTCACGACAGTCTGTCGTCGTAATGTCAAAGAAGTCGTGAACGACAGTTAATCGTGTTGTTATATGTGTGAACTACTTCATTTAAATATACAAGTCGAGACACTATAAACCGCACGACTATCTGTCGTCACCACATAATGGGAACGCGCCCTTAGCCGTTCGCCTTAAAAATGTGGACGTGAAACGCTTTGTGCGAATCCTTAGAATATACACAACATTGGGGTGGAGCCCTAACTTACGAGACAGCTTAGAGTTATCCATTAGTTTTGTTAATATGTAGTTTTCTAAGTTATTTCCTTTTACTATGTTGGGACATTGTATTATTTCAGTCTATTGTACGCATTAATCGTATTGAAACTCATCGATGGGTAATTGATATCTTCTAGGCATTAGTGGAAAATTTAAACAATGCAAAATTCAGATTCTGATTTGGATCTTTTATATATTGCAAAATCAGTTTCAAACATTTATGATTTTTTCGAATTCGAGGTAATTTTTACTATTATTTAATAAAAACAATGTTACATGGACATAACGCAGGCTCTATGATAAGGTTTCTCAAAGAAACTAGTTACAACTTTGCTTGACTCACAAAGAAGATAATGTTTCTAATTTCACGCAATTAATGATTTCAGTGTACGTTAGCCACCAAACAACTCAAAAGCTTTAAAAACAAAAAGTTGCAAGCAAGTCACAGCTTCCAGGACTGTGATTGCGGTTGCGAAGATTTTGGACCCCATGATGTTTGCAATGTTGCTAAAAAATGCATAAGATCTTGTACCGCGGTCTACGCAATACTATGCATGGAATACAACTGTAGATCTTTCAAGTGTCATTTTAAAGAGGTTTGTGTCACTAGATGTGAAATCGAATTCTGTCCGCAGCCATGTCCAGATCCATGTCCTTGTCCTTGCCCTAATCCGCCGTGCCCTCCGCCTTGTCCGTGGCCACCGTGTCCTCCACCTTGTCCGTGGCCACCGTGTCCTCCACCTTGTCCAGTACCGCCGTGTCCTCCACCAGTGCCACCACCGCCACCACCGCCACCACCACCTCCTCCGCCTCCTCCGCCTCCTCCGCCTCCTCCGCCTCCTCCACCTCCGCCACCTCCGCCACCTCCGCCGCCTCCTCCGCCACCTCCGCCACCTCCGCCGCCTCCTCCGCCTCCTCCGCCTCCTCCATGCCCACCGTGCCCATGTCCGTTTCCACCGTGCCCATGTCCACCATGCCCATGTCCGTTTCCACCGTGCCCAAATCCGTTTCCACCGTGCCCACCATTTTGTTTTCCTTGCGGTCCTAATATTAATAATAATAACAATAATAATAATAATAACAACAACAACAACAACAACAATAACAATAACAACAACAACAACAACTGTAATTGGAATTATAACATTAATAATAATAACAATAATAATAATAATGGATGATAATAAATAATAACATAGATATTTTTATTGTAGAGACGAAAATCTAAAATAGATAGTGCAAATAACATAGTCCTAAGATGTCGTGTTAAAAAAAACAATTACCCTTTGGAATATGTTAGATAGATAGATCTGGCTAATGAGCCTGTTTGTGAAAGAGCTCGCGAGCTGCACACGTGCATTACTTGTGCGATCTGTTCGCGTGCCGTTTGCGCGTCACATATAATAACATGTATTTAACTGTAAGGGGTGCAACGCGCGTGCGCGTACAGTGCACCTGCACACATTTGCAAAGCAATTCAAGATAAAACATTGAACCAGCTTGAGACCTCCAGTCTAAGACCTTTCATTGTGAGAGGAGACCTATGCCTCATTGTGGGACTTCTATAATGATAAGAATCGAAATAAAGTTATCCGACAGTGAACCAAAGTTATCAATGTAGTTGACAAGAGTAAGAAAGCTGAAGTGAACCGTTAGCTGGCGGGTGAAACGTGTTCTTGAGTAGAGGCCATGACTCGTCAATCGTAGTGCAGGACGCTGGTCTTCTGGTCAGATGTCGTGACTATCTGCCACAGGTTACAAGACAGCTAATAGATGCGACAAGGACCGGGTCAAATGGCGCATATTGGGAGATGCCAATACCAGCACTGGATTGCGATGGACTGATGATGATTATAATAATATACATTAATAATGTGCCCAAAAATCACACCAATTGCGCCGACGAAACGAACCTGACCGCCGCGGGGACACCGAGGGACACGGGGGCGCACAAAACTTAAAAATTCATTCAAAGGAAGAATCAAGATACAAGTGTGAGCATCAGGCGATTTTTCAAATTTTGTTCTGTACTATAAGTACCAGAAGTGCCTGTAGTTTTCCTTTCAAAACCGGAACGCAGTAATTAATGCACACGTTACTGCTTGGCGATCAAAATGGGTAAAGTGGCAGTAATCACATTCACACGAAAAACTTACACAGCTTTGAAAATGTATGAGAGGTTTAATACCCGCTTCACAAGACGACTGAGGGCGTGTTTCCACTAAGTCGTAACGTTTTTTTATCGTTGAACGACAGTCATGCCTGGCTGTTCCCACTGGATCGTGACGACAATTTATCGTTTCGCGGCAGCCGCCTTGTCGTTTGCAGATATGAGACAACGACAAATAAAACGTGACGACAACAGTAGCTGCAGTTATCTTTCGTCACATTTTTATTGTGACGTTTTATTTATCGTCTGACGACTGTCGTTATAGCGCTTCCCATTGTCTTGATAGTCTGTCGTCGTAACGTCAAAAAAGTCGTGAATGACAGTTAGGTAATCATTATGTACTATATGTGAACAACCCCATTTAAATACACAAGCCACGACACTTTAAACTGCATGACTATTTGTCGTCACGACGACATAATGGGAACGCGCTCTTAGCGTGGTACTGCGACGCTTGGCACTCACTTAAAAACATCCTAATCGGCCCGACTTATTCACCTATGGTGATTTAAAAAACGAGCCTAAAGAGAAAATATTTTGATCGACTGAAAAACCTTTTGTAGGATAATGTGTTATTATTCTGTTAAAGAATAAAGAAACGTGATTTTTTTAATAATGATGGTAAACTACACACCTATATAATTACAGATAATAGCGACATCTCTCGCCAGGCCTGGTAGCTGTAAAGTTACCTAGATGGCGCTACGGCTAAAAAGTAGATGAAAACCAAATACAAAGACCCGACAACAAGCACATGGAAAAATTCGTGAGGTCTGCTGGTTCGTTCCGTGGCTTAGTTGGCATAGCGTCTGGCACGGTTTGCTAGAAGTTGGTCCGAATCCGGCCGGATTGAAGGAATTTTTTCTGTGTTGAATCTTTGTATTAATAATTACACACCTATCCATAACAGTTGCAGTACCATTCAAAGCTTTAAATCGCAAAGGTGTGGCGGTCATTGCCACTGCGCCTGTCGCCCTGAGACATAAGTTGCAAGTCCCATGGGTCAGTAATTTCACCAGCACCCTTACCTTTCAAAACTGGAACGCAGCAATGCTCACATTACTGCTTGGCGGCAGAAATAGGTTAAGGTGGCAGTACTTCCTTGGACGAACTCTTTCACAAGGAGCTCTACAGTTACTTAAATGATTTTATAATCTATGTATATTATAATTGGAAATAAAACTATTTTTGTGGTACTAAATCTTGTATATTTATTTTTGACCGTGATCATGAAACCTGTAAAGGGCGTTGGTTTGTTCGAAAAATAAACAATGGTTTCATTTCGTTTGTTGTACCGGGTTCGATTCCCTAGTTTTATTTTCCCTAAGAGGGTATAAAATTAAACAAAGATAGCCGAAAATTGAAATAATTGTAATAAGAAGAAAAAATAATTTACAATTTAAAATTAAAATTTTGATTATATAAAAAAATAAATTTATTTTTACACGAGTCGTGGTAACGAGCCTTAAGATTTATGGTTTTTCGCTTCCGAGTATAGTACTCCCCTGTGTAATTGCCGGCGCAGAAGGAAGACCACAGGAATTGGTTCCCGTGCAGCGAAGGCGGGAATAGGATATATTTGCTGCAGATATTATTTCTGTAATTTTTTTATAATGTTAAATTTGAAAAAACGATTTATTCTAAAATGAATTGAACAACGTTGTAACGTTCCGTTACCATGTGTAACAATTACGAAAACCTAACTATGTTAGGTTATTTAATTAACTCGCTATGTTGTAATCATTGATTATTATGTAATATTATTATTTTACGGACATGCATAATTATATGTCTAGTTCATCACTATTTTGACGCTATTTTTATTTTATTATTAAATTAGTTCCTACATTATTTAATGTAATTATATTAATTGACTATGTTAAATTTACGATGACTTGTGGTAGTACAAAACTTGTACAGGGTTAACTATAATTAACATACGTTGAAATGTAACGATCCTTTTAATGCAGTAGATTGTACTGCAAAGTAATGATGTAAAGTTTACAAGATGATGAAAAAAAAAGTACTTACTTGAGCGACCTCATTCACAAGGGATTCTAATGCTAGTAAAGAAATGTCCATTAAGCTGTTTCAGGATGTTTCTGTCAATGATATGTTAAAATAAATACTGTACAAATGAAAAATGTGAACAAGTATACTTTGATACAGAACCTAGCTTTAACCTTTCTCACTCATCCTTACCAAAGGAATATCTAAAATTGAGAAAGTAGCCATGCTTAAAATTAATTTGATAACTTCGTTTGAAATTTGTTTACCTGGGAAATAAAGATATTTCGAATTTGGATTTTGAATTTATTTTTTTCGTGTTAATACGAATGTAATTTTAATTCCTAGAGGGACTGGATGTGTCACTTGCAATCGTAAAATGAGAAAAAAATTGATAATCACTTATTTTGGAAAAAAACTGTTAACCGACTCAAAATAAAGGTGGAGGTTCTGAATTCGATTGCATTTTTTTATATACTGTTGTTGTGGTTGTTTGTTTTATTTTTAATGTTATTATTTTGTTTTATTAAACACAAAAACTGCAACTAAAAACGATTAAAAGATGTATGTAGCGCTGGTCTCACATCCTGTCAGGCGTCTAACAAAAGAATTAATATGTAATACTTATGCTCAAACTCTACTTACACTTAAGACTATTAAATTTCATAATTTTATAAATGCATTGATTTAAGAATTGTTTTACATTGTTCTGGTTTACCTAGAGGTTTATGAAAAAGTATGTGTCTTCAGCCAGACACGTTTTCCGAAGTTGTTATTTTATGGAGGAAGAGCATACCTTGGTAGGTAATTTAGATTACGCAATTTACCAACTCTTGTCGTTTGGCGGTTTTACCTGTTTCAAAATGTGTCACGCTTCAACATTTTGAAAAAATCGCTGTTCTATCTGGATCCACAACACCTAAATTTGTAAAAGTTCGCTGCAGGAGCTCCTCTCTAACGCTCATAATACTAACCGCAGGCTCAACAAAGGCGTCAAATAAACAAATACATAAAAAAAATATAATTGACTTCTCATGTTCAGTAGGTACCGAGAAAAACGACAATTCTGAATTATGAGGCACTGTAGAGCCAACTAACTTTATCTCTGTCTTTGTGTAGTATTTGTTGGGTGTCATATGAGTGTTACTGTTGAGTATCGTCTTGTAGGTGTAATTAAAGCTAGCTGGCTATACATGAAATGCTAAGGGAAAGCTGTAACCTATCACAAACAACCCTACGATCCTACCTAACAGCTTTGCCCTAACTGTACACTACTATACATATATAGATAGGTAGAGGAAGCCAGTTACCATGCGACCTAAGTAACAGACGGAAGGCGCGAAGGATAAGGGTGCAAGTAGTGGATTTTCTCACTGCCAGTCTCACAGACTCACAAACTGATCTGATAAGCTGACGGCTAAAGGTGTCTTGGCCGCAGTGAGAGGATGCTGTAGTCAGGAGTGTTCTGACGTCGTCAATGAGACAGCGTCGATGACTGGATTCAAAACTAGACTATAGACTATTTATACAAATTCTATTTACATGTGTGCGTGTATATCTACAATATAATTTTAAATGTTAAACAAAGGAAACGTCTACTCAGCAGGCTGGTCTTGCACATTGCTATTCGGTCAGTGCACTGCTATTATCGTCACGTGGTAATTTATGTCTCGTCAGCCATGTCACGTGAACGTGAACAGGCACTCTTGATCAAACGACACTTAACGCATCAAGGTCAGATCAGGGTTTAGATAGGTTACCTAAATAGCTAACGAATAATTATATTTTGAATTGCTTGATTAAGATGTGGCCATAGTCTGTCCTTTTAGATAGGACTTTGGCAGCTAAAGCCACAGCCTCCTCGGTGGTTTGCTTGTTGGTAAGGTAGTAGCTTCCGAGCAGTGTGTGGTTAGCCTATAGTAAAGGCTGATCACGTGTGTAAGTTGCCTATCATAGGTAGGGCACCAGCTAGGTATGTTCACCCCTTCAGTTGTGAGGAAGAGGGATGTAGTCTAAGCTCTACTCTATAAGTATATATACTGGCCGAATGAATATAGATTTGTGTTTGAAATGTATTTTAAAAAATAGGATCGAAAAAATCCTCCTAGAAAAAAGTCTGCCAAAAACCTATCTAAAAGGACAGACCATGACCACACCCTAATCAAACAATTCAAAATATAATTATTCGTTAGCTATCCTAGCTATTTAGGTAACCTATCTAAATCCTAACTCTTTATTTCAGCTACCCTAGCTTGGCTGAATGTTCCTAACAAATCATTAAACATCACTACTAGAACCTCCTAAATGCATCACTAAACTATCTTCAACGTGCACGCTGCTACGATGACGACACAGGCTTACAGGTTAATGAAACTGGGTATCAAAGACTTCAAGAAATGTCTAATAAACTGAACATCTTGAATCTTCGCTTACGTCGCTAACTTATCTAAACTATAAAAATAACTTGTCAGCGATTCGTTTGGCCCCTGTCGCCTATAATAAAACTCTCGGGCGTAATCTATCTGTGAGGGAAATTCCTCTTTTAGCTTCTGTGCAATTACATCATACGTCGTGTATGAAGAAATTTGTACCATTGTAGAGCTGGCCCTTCGAAATACAATGCAATCACGTATCTCTTTTGCACATCAGACCAAAAATTTATACGCTGATCGCCTCAAATTGATTCAAAAACTCGTCTACATCGTTGAATCCAGTAAACATTTGTGCCGGCGTACAATACATATTTTCTTCTTACACTTTTCACTGGTGTCAATTATAAAATAATATTAAATAAGTAAAAATATAAACTACGACCTTATGTACGCTTTCCTGGAGGTTTTTCGTAAAAACATAAAATTTTGTCACATCGGAGTTTTCTTCATCGGAATATATAATAATAATAATAATAATAACGCACACACTCAACATAGCCCCGCACTAGGGAAACCCTGTGTCGCGGGTGCTATGGACACACACATAGACAACCACAAATTACACCCAAACTCACGAGAGAAATAAATGTAGGCCATATAAATATTTCTCCCGGCCCGGGAATCGAACCTGGGACCTCTGCGTGGCAGTCCGACATGGTAACCGTTCGGTCACGGAGGCAGTCAAGGAATGCTTTCATCATTTATATTGCGATTCCACCACTTATAGGACGGCCTCCACCATTTATAGGCTCACCTCCACCTTTTATAGGACGTAACGTAGCTCAGGTAGCTTTGCGAGAGATACTTTTATAAGAGAAACGACGATTATTCATAAGTATAACTGCAAACGTGTATTCAATTTGGAATCTTAGCCTAAAATTGCCAAGATGTTCTTTTTGCTATGCTATTTTTAAATACATTTTAAACACAAATCTATATTCATTCAGCCAGTACTTCTACTCATAGAGTAGAGCCTAGACTACAGTACACAACCAAAGTCATCATCTGTACCCTTTTCACATGAGCTGGAACTCAATTAACTTAAATTTACAATGATTCGTGTTTTCAATAGATTGTCAATATTTACATGTTCATAAAAATTGTTGTTAATGGCAACACTTAACATTTTAATTTGTGGGGATATTTCTACCATACTACATAATTTCTGTTTATCACATAATAGTATGTACTATCCTATTGAATGAGAGACATCGATAGGTTTAAGAAAAATAAATATAGAACGTAACCGTTTAAGTGACGCATCTTATATATAAACCTATTATATTATGTGTCATTGTAGCCAAATACTAAATATTTAACGGAAATAAACAAGTTCTTAGTGTACACAGTGGAGTTAAATATTATAATTTTTCTTTTCCTATTTGGGCAATTATTATTAAGTTAATTTCTATCGCCGTTCACAGCTGTCAAAAACAGAATGCTATCTTGGCTCGACTATACTTGATTTCTCTAATCATATGATAGTACTTCTCTGTTGCTTGCGGGAGTTCACTCGGTTTAACAAAAAAAACTCATAGAACGTAACCGTTGGCATGATGTATCATAAATATAAGCTATCACAAGTTCAAAGCAGATATAAAATCAAATTATGTGTTATTACGGTTAAATACTACTTATTTAATCGAAATAAAAACATTGTTAGTGTTCATAAAGGATACATAAATTATATAATTAATTGTTTCCTATTTGGAACATTATTACTAAGTTACGTTCTGTCGCTGTTTATAGCTGTCAAAGAGAGGATGCTATGTTGGCTCGACTATGGTGAGCTAAATTTGCAAATTAAATTATAAATAATAATAATGTACTTATAATAAGGACTTGTCAACTTATGTATCTCTCTCTCTCTCAACTGTATAATATGTATTTGCTATGGATACTTCACATTAATTTAGTCGTATTTTTTTTAATATTATTATAATTAATGGCTTTTTCGTCTTAATTACATTTTAGAGCTTATTATTATAAGTTCGAACCGTTTACGTACTTATAATAGAACAGTAAACAATACCTACTAATTAAATTCGTTACGCCAACATTGATACGGCATCGATGAAATCTTACAGAAAATAATTCATTTTAACCAAAGTTATTTATTTTCCTGTGTATCGTTTAAATGGTGTTGTTGCCTTTAATTAGGCAATTAATATCGATGTTGCACGTTGTAAATAACATAAAAATTTTCGAATAAATACTGTAGGTATTTTGTAATGAGTTCGTATTTCATATTCTGAATGTAGCGAAGATGAACATATTTTTATTTTCTTCAATTTTGGTGGGTTTATTACCCATTTTTATTGAGAATTTGGTAAGTAATATTTATTACCTTATAATTATATGTTTTTTTAAATTAATTATTTCATTAATATAATGATAACTCTGTGTATTAAATATAAACTTAATAAAAATACAGTTATCGATTTTCGGTTTTGAATATTTATAGAAAGCTTAAATATACAAAATAACTCACAAAACAAACCATTTCCAAGAAATTCTAGGCTTGAAAAAGCCTAATTTCAACTTAGATTTATCGAGTTCTTAGGTTTTCGCGATTGTTACACATAGGAAATGAAACTATTTTTCCGGATTTAAATCGCGTATATTTGTTTTTTCAAACAAACCGACGTTTCGGGCCACTCCGGAAACTTAGATTTACTTTTTAAAAAGAAAATAATTTTTTCTCGGCTACTTCATAGTCATTCTTTAAAAAGTTTTTATGATTGTCTACAAAACGCGATGTTTCTAAGCGATTTTTTCTTTTGACAGTATTACAAAACCTTTATAAATATTGAGCGTATTATGCAATAAAAACTTTTCAAAACACTAGGTCAAAAAAACAATTGACAAAATCCAATTTGTCGCAAAAAAACGTTTTTATGTATAAATTATATGGAATGTGTTATATATGACTAGAAAGGTGGATAAATCCCCTATCATATAAATATAAGGAACATTTTAATGACATACCTAACTTATGTTGGAAGAAATAAAATTTTCATTATAAATTTGAGGTTATTTCGTCACGCCAACCACATTTCACACAATGATTTCACTGTATTCTATTGATAGACGGCACAATACACATACACAACATTGAAGTACAGTAGTTCACGCGCTCATTTCAATTGTTTTTACCATTTCACAACACGGAATTACTTCACAATGTTTATTTATTTCTTAACAAACAAATTCCGGCCATGACCAGCCCGAGCGCGAATTACGACTATTGTATCCAGCGTTGCCAATTTGTGGGGAATTCCCCAAATTGTGGGGAGTTTCAACTAGATTGGAGATTTTGTGGGGATTGGCGCTATGTGTGGAAAATGTGGGGATTCTAACATTTTATCATTTTGTTTAATCTATCAATTGCTGATGCGTCGCTAGGTTGATCGTTACTATTAGAAACACTGTGATGGACTACATCGACGTGTTTTTCAACATCGCATATCCCTTGTATTATTAACAAGCAGCTTAAATAGAATTATTATTAGAGCACTTGGTTCTGAATTGTATTTTGGTTGTGAAATTACCAGTCCGTGCGTGTTGAGTTCGCGATTCTTTCTCCCGCTTAGGCCGGTCCCCGGTATGAAGCAAAACGAAATCAGCTATTGATAAACAAAGCCGAGCAGTTGGTACTTTCACACCACAACTTACCACTCGTCAACTTTAAATATTAAATATAGGTCGAAACTCATTGATTATGTCTAACGTTAACTAGTGTCACCAAATGCACAACAAATAATCAATTTACTTAATTTTGTAAGGCAAAGAAAAATGATTTTTTGGTCAGACTGATTACAGATTAATGTTTAATCTAATTAATATTATAATTAATATAACTACCTCCGTGGCCGAACGGTTACCATGCCGGACTGCCATGCAGAGGTCCCAGGTTCGATTCCCGGGTTGGGAGAAATATTTGTATGCCCTACATTTGTTTCTCTCGTGAGTTTGGGTGTAATTTGTGGTTGTCTACGTGTGTGTCCATAGCACCCGCGACACAGGGTTTCCCTAGTGCGGGGTTATGTTGAGTGTGTACGTTATTATTATTATTATTATTAAAATAAATTAACGATTTAAGGTCATCTAATTTTATAATTAGTTTACATTCTGTTTACATTCACAGCAAACGTAATAGATTATTACATTTTGAATTTCTTAATTCTTTATTATATTTTTAAGCGATGTATTTCTCATAATTAATAATAAATTATAGATGCGAGGAATTTGAGGGGAACATGAACTTTGCTCTCCCCAAATTTGAGGATTTTAACCCTGATTTTTGGAGATTTTGAACAATTGGCATTAGCAACGCTGATTGTATCGAATGATGTGATGTAATGACTTAATATCCAAGGTTCACCACCTCCACTGGATCTTTTCATATTCTTTACTTTATCCATTTTGCATGAATTCTTACAACGTCCAATAGAGTAAAAACCCTAATTGTAGTATTTTTTTAAATAAAATCTACTGAAGACGCGCTATAACGTGTTTGTTAATAAGTACAAACACTACAGAATGTCTATAAATTAAATATATCTAGAATAAACTTAAGAACACTAGTTTTTAGAGTATTAATAGACTTTACTGGATTTGTAAAGAACAATTTTACTAAAAATAATCAGTTGTTCTACAGATGAACTTAAAATAAGGACTTTAAGAGTAAATCTTAAGAGAGATTACACTTAATTGAGTTGTTTGGTATTAAAAAGGTGTTAAAATTTTGACTTGAGTGAAATAAGTCTATAAGAACAATTTCTTTTTTCTAAAACCGTTTATAGAGAACTATTATCTAAATTAATATCATATTAAGACTGTTCATAGATGTAACAGTTCTAAGGTGTATAAAGTGTGCACCTTGGGAAGTACAAGTATTAAAAAATTTGAATTTGTACAATAAACACTTATATAGATTATATAATTATACGTAGGTATAATATTTTTATTTTTTTTCATTATTTTATTTATATTCCGGTTATAAAAACCCGTAAATACATACCTAATAGACATAACAATATAATAAAACACGAATTATTAATAATTTATACGTATTGTCTGCGACGTGTGACGCAACGTAGGTGTGCGGTAACCGGCCTTGGAAACGTCGATACATGACACCCTTCGGTCAAAACTCCTCCTTCACGAAGCTCGACAGATGTTGAGTTGGTAGTACTCTCACCACAAATGAATTAAAATTCACATTGTGGCGGGATTGCAACTGCTCGACCCTCAGGCCGTTATGCAAATACATTCACAAACACACATATATATATATGTACATAAATATATATTATTTCTTGTGTATAATTTTGTTGTGTATTTATGTATTGTAAATATATATGTTTTTATCGAGTTCTTAGGTTTTCGCGATTGTGACACATAGGAAATGAAACTATTTTTCCGGATTTAAATCCCGTATATTTGTTTTTTCAAACAAACCGACGTTTCGGGCCCTTTACAGGTCCCGTGGTCGCGGTTGTTTGAAACGTCGGTTTGTTTGAAAAAACAAATATACGCGATTTAAATCCGGAACAATAGTTTCATTTCTCATATATATGTTTTGTTTTAGAAGGTGCAAAAATTTGATCCAAATGTAAGTTGTTCGTGATTCGCTACTACGTGTTGTTTAAGATCTGCTTAATTATACATTATATAACTTGTGCAGCTACACTCAAACGGTTTTTTTCATTCGAGTCTAAATCAAAGGTTCCCAAACTTTTTTGCTCTCCGCTCACTCAGGCAAGATAGAAACATTTCAATGCACACCATCACAAAAAATAATTGATTTAATGAAATTGGTCTAAATTATAAAATATTGTTTGTGGATTTAAATTTTCCAGTAATTGGCATTAGTAGAAAATTGAAGACAACACAAAATTCAGACACTGATTTTACTTTTTCATTTATTGCAAAATAGGTTCAAAACTTTATAATAATATCAACGTAATTTTTATTGTTGTTTAATAATAATAATCAAGTATTACCTGGATATTACACAAGCGCTATGATGAGGTTTATCAAGAAAATTAATCATAAACTTGCTTGATTCACTAAGAAAATGAGAATACTAATTTCATACAATGATAATGATTTCAGTATATGTTTCACGCAAACATATACTGAAAAAAGTCAAGCATTTAAAATTTCTAAAAGTTGCACCAAAAAAGTTACCCTAACGACAATATCATTGAAGTGCATTTCCCACACGATGACGCTTGCAATGGTGTTAGAAAACGCGTAAAAACTTGCACAGCAAGCTACGCAAAATAACGCATGAAATACTGCTGCACATTTTTCAACTGTCTAGACTTGTAACATTAGTTGTCAAACAGACGTCATTTGACTGAGCTGCTCCCATATGTGTGCAGATTTCTAGAGAGTCTCCTTAATCTAATATGCGCATAAAGAGGTAGTTGTGGAGGAGGCGGTAAAAGCGGTAAAGAATTTGAATGCGGCAGTAGCGGTGAAAGCAATGAAGGCGGTGAAAATAATAATGATAATATTTTTTAGGGAGGCGGTGGCAGTTGGGGAGGTGTTGGGAGTTGGAGAGGCGATGGAAATTGGGGAACCTACGGAGGTGGTGAAAGAGGTGTAGAAGTCGGTAAACAAGGAGATGGCGGTGATAGCGGTGCAAGTTGGAGAGGCGGTGGAAGTGACGGAATTTGGAGAGGCGGTGGAGGTGCTGGAGGTTGGGGAGGCGGTGAAAGTTGGAAAGCCGGTGGGGGTTGGGGCGTGGCGTTGGGTGGTGGAGGCGGAGAAAAAGGCGCAGAAGGCATTAACCTTAGTGGCGGCAGTGGAGGCCTTGTAGAAGGCGCAGGGGGTGGGTTTGTTAAAGACAGTGGTAGCGGTAGAAGTTGGGGAGGTGGTGGAAGTTGGGGAGGCGGTGGAGGTGGTGGAATATGGAGAGGCGGTGCAGGTTGGGGTTGGGGCACGCCATTGGGTGGTGGAGGCAGAGAAAATGGCGCAGAAGGCGGTAAAGTCAGTGGCGGCAGTGGAGGCCTTGTAGAAAGCGTAGGGGGTGGGTTTGTTAAAGACAGTGGTGGCGGTAGAAGTTGGGGAGGTAGTGAAAGTTGGGGAGGCGGTAACGGCGGCGTGGGAAGCGGGTTCGTTAGAGGCTATGGTGGAAGTTGGGGAGGCGGTGGGGGTTGGGGAGGTGGTGGAGGCGTTGGAAGCAGTTGAAGTGGAAGTGGTGGTGAAGGAGAGGAGGCGGGGCGGTGGGGGAACATACACATGAATAGCAGTTTGCTTGCAAACTTCTTTACTAGTTTTAGGTCAGGGTCAAGACCCTAACGAGTTATTAATAACGTACATTATTGAAAGGAATGACAAATTATGTACAATTTATATTAATCCTGCTAGAATGAGGTGAGAGAAGGTATCACTTGGAATGAGTCAGGGTATGGGATACCCAGAATTTAGTGAAAATGTAGTATAAAATATGTATATTCTATTTTCATTGTTTGTATTATGTTATAAGTAACAGATTCTTTCTCAAAGTCTGCAGTCTGCGAACATATGGACAAACCCCAGGTTCTTGCAAAAGAAGTCCGTTACCTACCCATGATGCTGCGAAAGGCCATTGAAATTAAAACCATCCTAATTTCAAAAGGGAAGAAGATGATTTCTTTGTACCACAGTTTGGGATCCAGTCTGAAGAAAAATCCCAAGCAGACATAAGACTGCAGTACTGATTAATAATATGTTTTAGTTTATTTCTAATTTTCTTTTTTGTTAATAAAATTTATTTACTAAAATTCACATTGTTACAAATATACGCGTCTTATATCAGGAGAATAGTTTCATTTCCTATGTATATTTCCTTTTTAAAAGTTGTGTTTTGCTTTCCACATCCACATCATGATACATATAGACACGAACTAGGGATCCTAAGACGTGGCTCCCACTGAAGGGATGGCTCGGTAGGGGATCCTTCGGCATTCCTACATGTAAGCGCACACTGTAGCACACACACCGACATAGTACGTACGACGTCGCATCTTTAAACAAGACTAAGCTTCCGTAGGCATGCTGAAGCATTCTGTCGCGACATCGTGCTCGCGCCTGATCTCTGGACATTCCAAAGCATCCTGAAGGCTACCGAAGCATCCCCAAAGCTGCCAAAGAACCCCCAAGCCGCCGAGTTATCCCTAAGCATACCGTAGCTGCGCTGTGTTAGGATCCCTTGAAATAGTTTAGTGTAATAAGCGTTATGCTCACGATACAGTACTTGTTCGATCTACCCATTCACATACGTCCAAAAACGCAACCCCGTTTTTCCGCAAATCCATTGTTGTGTCCAATGTCCACAGACAAGGAAGAGAAAAGAAATTAGTCCTTGTATTTATAGAAACTATTATAGAAACAGAAACCATTGCAACGCCACATTCTAAAAAACGGCTCAAAAAAAGACTAATTTAAATAAACACATTTCAACAAGAAGTTATATAATAACTGTACTGACATGTGTGCGGCTGTGAGGTATGCAAGAGTATCCCATACAGCTAAAGTCACAACTAAAACTAGGCTGTGACTTGTGACGCTGATTTTCAATGGGCCATTGACTCTTTCGGCTGGCATCACAAAATACAGGAGTTACTACTACTACCATACTACTACCATTACTAGTTTACCAGTACTATTTCCATTTTTGACCGGTTCGATTCCTAGATGAGGCAAGAAACTTTAAAAAAAATGTTTGAGCGCAGAATTCTTCTTCTTCTTCTTCGCCTTTTAGTCATCCATTGCTAAATGTAGGCGTTCTCATTTGCACGCCATTCTTTTCAGCCTTGGGCCGTTTGCATCCAGGTTTTTTTGGTTAGCTTGACTATATGTATATCGTCGATTTACCTAGCCTTCTGGCGACCGACGCTTCTCGTATCGATCCTTAGTCTCGACTCCAGCATTCTTCTGTTCCACCGGTCGTCAGTTCTGCGGTTTATGTGACCCGCCCATCGCCACCTTTGCGCAATGATACGCCTCACGTCACCGCATATTAATTTGTTCTATTTTTTGTTTCTTTTATTAATCTGCGAGTTTGTTGTGTCGCTGTAGACTATACTACAAATTTTCTAGGATGATCCCTGTGACACCTCACAAAATTCTACATTAATATAACCTTGTAACGCGTGCACTAATTTACGTATTTTATAAATTATTTTTATAAGTCTCGCTTTTAAGTGAATAGAATAAAATTAAAGTAAAAGTAACACCAAATTAGTGAGAAATCAGCAGAGAGATGTGTCCAACATCTTCGGCGTCTTTTTATTTGAGTAAACAAAAACCAAATAGACAGTATAACTGCAGCGTCCTGAATGAGTTCTGTACTATTAACCATTCTTGTCAAAGAAGGATCTCAGCTACATGTACAATCACTACGGCGATCAACTACGTAGCGCGGGGCCGCTAGACCGCTGCCCCGCGCAGATTAAACAGCGCGTTGATGCAGATCTGCGTCTCCGCCACCGCGCGCGTGCTAATCGCCGTGCAGTGTGTTAGTCGCCTTAGACTATGGAAACCAATCCTCTAAGAGTATAGTTGCCAAAACAAATCAGAGAACGACCAGTTTCACTTGACATCCGCGCCGAACCCGACACGGGCTCGTGGACGGAGTCAACTTGACGAGCTCTGAGAAGATCCCGGACTCTCTTATTTATTCTTGTAATTTTTATATATTGACATTCCGTTATCCATTGATATTAAATTGTATTTTACTTTTATTGTTATTATAAATTGTAGTAAGTATTTGATACTGATGATATAACATGATTCTATACAACCTGTCTTCAAACTAGGGAAAGGCTAGACTCATGGACTTTAGAGTATTATTAGAACCACATTTTCGTCGTTTAATAATACACCCCTGATCAGATCTTAATTAAATTGATAGATAGATATTTAAAGCAAAGATTTTTTAGTTTTCAGACTAAATAAAAAAAAATGTAAATCTTCATTGAAAATGTTCCGTTAATTTAATGTTGTTATTTTTAATTAGGTAATTATCAACCATGTTGCATATTGTAGACAACATCTTGGACATAAGTGTTCGAATAAATACCGTGAATATTTTGTAATGAGTTCTTATTACTTATTATTCCAAACGTAGCGAAGATGAACATGCTTTTGTTTTATTTAATTTTAGTGGGTTTATTACCCATTTTTATTGAGTTGGTAAGTGGTATTATTGTTTCAAATGTAATTTAGGTTTTCTCATATATTACAGAAAATAAATTATAATTTCCATTTAGTTTGCTCTTCAAATCGATTAAAAATCCAAATTGATGTAAAAATATCATTTAAAATTGTTTAGAAACAATTTTAGTCTATTAAAATAAAATGAATTAAAAGTCGAAATTTTGGAATTAAATGTAAAGAAAAACAAGTTAAATGTATTCTGTTTAAAAAGTAAACGACACGAGCTCTTGTGAAACTTTTGTTTGCTTGGAACACCAAGCAAAACAAATTCTATTTTTTTTTATTAATTTAAGAGTGACCTAAGGACCGGTTGGTATTATGTAGCCCACTCCACCTCTTTTTTCTACATATTTATAATAAAATTGGTATGGTAGAAGATGCCCCAACAACTCCTGTTCAAAATTTGTAAAATATGAAAATGTCACCTTACAATTTAATTCATTATTTTAAACTAAATTATAACATCATTACTGTTTTGTTTTAGAAGTCGTCAAAATTTGATCCAAATGTAAGTTATTACAATAGTTCGGAAAAAGGTGTTCCACATATATATAGATACATGTATAGATATAGCTACAATGACCTACAAAGACTTGTTAAAACCACCAAATATTAATTAATTACTTGTTTCGAATTCCGGATTTCCGGATATAAGAAAATCCTCTCTCTATTCTATAAATAGCCGTATATGAGTAAGGCGGTCAAAAATGGTACTTTAAGTGTTTACGCGTTCAGCCGTTTTTTTTTTTATAAAAAGTATTAAAATAACAAAGTAAACATTTTCCTTTTATAATACGACATTTCTGCTAGTGGTTCGAATTTATGAACATCTGTTATACTGTGTTTTTGAATTTAAATAAAATATTTTTAGAGCGCGATAGTCGCCGTTTCATCAATGTGACCGCCAATATGCGGTATCTAAAGCTAGGGCGGAGAGTGACCATTCTCGTTACTTGTTTACTCTCTGTTTTGGTAAAAGGTCTGTTATCTACTGCATTATTTACATGGCACCATTAGAATTAGGAAATGAAACTATTTTTCCGGATTTAAATCGCGTATATTTGTTTTTTCAAACAAACCGACGTTTCGGGCCCTTTACAGGTCCCATGGTCACGGTTGACTTGTTTGAAAAAACAAATATACGCGATTTAAATCCGGAAAAATAGTTTCATTTCCTATGTGTAACAATCGCGAAAACCTAAGAACTCGATACCATTAGAATTATTTTAAAATCCAACTTCGACTTTCTAGGTCAGTAGTTTGTTCTACGATGCAGTAAAACCATTTCCGGAAATCCGGAATTTGAAAAAATATACATGTATCTATAAATAAGGAATACCCTTTTCCGAACTGTGGTTATTACCAATTAGTAACTATTTTGTGAACTTGTGTTCAGTATCTTCCAATAATATACAAAGTGTACTGTGATTGTTTCCCATCGATGTTTATGGACATAAATATTTTTCACAAGAGCCAGCA